TTCAGATCTGGTTCAGTTTAAGGTTCAAGAATGATCCTTGAAAATATGATTTTCTAAATAGGGAATGTGATTCCCAGTTGAAGGGAGAAAAAAATTTTTGAAATTCGCCCCTTATTCCGCAATCTTTGGGCGTCCATAGGATGGATCTCTCATCCCTTCAATCGCCTGGGTCACAATGGAGCAGCCCAGCCATTGTGCCAAGAACCAGCCTCATTTGAAATGGATTTTGCAGGAATCAATCTTGAGCTTGATGATAGAGTGGTATGTGGTGGTGTCCTAGGATGTGACATTGAAACCCAAACAATTAACCAGAAAACTCCAAACATTTTTCAACTTGTACACATAGTATTCAAGGTGCCAAGGCAAGGCTAGGAGACAGAAGGGCAACTAGTAACTACGCGATGAATTTCTTAAATAAAAACCATGAATTCTAGGGTAGTTTCCTAGGTTCAATAGCAACTAGCAACTATCTTTCCTTAATTTCATAACAAAGTATAAACTTTGTATTAAGGAGAAGAAAGAAGAAAAGAAAATCCAAAAAATATAAGGTCAAAGCCATTGTTTGGACAAAATTGTACTTATTCATTCAGGTTTTAAAGTATTTGAGGGTTCAAGACAACATATAGAAAAATGTCAATTAATTGTATTGTACCCTAATAAATATGAAAATAATACAAAAAGACTAGTATATAAATGCACAAAATGAATGTTTTAGTTTAATAATGTTTAATTTATTATTATAATCTCAAAAAAAAAGAATATAAAAGTATTTCATAGAGCCATGAACAAATTAGCTTGGCAATTGAGCAAGGAACCCTCCATGGGTGCCTTGTCGCCTAGGCATCATCGCCTTGAAAACTATGCTTCCATGGTTCCACCCAACACAAACAAAAAAACATATTAGCAACCCACCTGAGAACAAATAAACCAAACTCCAATCAGAACCCAAATACTATGCTCCAACAGTCATCTTCTCTGACAATTTAAATAAATTACCCAAAATGTCATAGTATGGCATTTTCAACCAATTGCTGTTTTGTTTATCCTATTGTTACAAATTAATTGGAGAGTAGTGTTGTATATATAACACCTTCAAATCAATAAAATTTACAGTTATTAATTGGTAAATAGAGGGGGAAGGAAAAGAGGGGGGGGAAGAGAGATGAAAAGAGAACCAATAGGATCATTCTAGCATATCCTAGAATCGATTTACTGTTCAAATGCATTCCAAGATCAGCTAAGTCATTATCAAATACCCTTGTTAGAGACGGCACAGAGACTGTACATTGGGCTACTCATGTATCACATTCTGTTCATGAGAAAATCGGAAATCAAAAAAGGTGTTATATGATCTTCCTTTAAATGCATCATGCCTAGACAGTAGAATCCCTACCACATTCTTAGAGACAAACCATCCTCCATAGTCTAAATTTCAAAAATATGTGCATTCCTCTCTCCTCAAATGGCCCACACAACTGCAAGTGGGAGCATTTTCCATATGATCCTCCCACTCCTATTAAAACGCCTCACTTGCCATATATCCATAAGCTCATAACAGTTAACAGACCCTGGATGGCATAATTGAACCACAAACAGTCAAGCATCCTTGTCCAAATGTGAAAAGCAAATTTGCAATTAGTATATGATTTGCAGATTCCAAACTGACTATTACAAAGGATACAGTTATACCTTTCTACCACTGATAGAAGGGAAAAAAAACAAAGATCTTGGAAGGCACTGTTGAGCAGCAAAACTTGAGTGATTCCAACCCCATATCCTTGTCAGCCTGATTCCTGTTTAATTTTGCATCATTTAGGACTTCCATTAGCTCCAGAACTGAATCCATCTATCAATTATTTGCGTTTCTTCAAAACACAGTATTTGACACAACCAAATCATTCACCTCTTCATAGGTCTCTTTCACAAAGCTTCTTTATTCAGGGCTAGATCAAATATGAATGGAAATGCTTCCTTCGATGGTCTTCCTAAGCACTATTATCTTCAAGAAAACTAATCTTGCTATCCCCTACTGAAAAGAATGGTAGGATCCATCGTATGGACGCCAGAACTGTTGCGGAATGGGTGGGCAAATTTCAAAAATTTCCTACCTCCCTTCCAACTGTGAATCGTATTCCTTGATTTTAGAATTAAAATTCAAGGATCCTACTTGAACCAGAACCGAACTAGATCTGAACCAAAAGACAAGAGAGGAATTATACCTGATCCAGAGAAGCAGTATCTCCCAAAGTTGGTGTTCACGCCCAAAGAAGACACCAAGATCCACTCCTGCTGAAGATGACACAGCAACTGTGGAACAGAACCAGCAGAGTGCGTCCTACGCACTGAATCCTTCACAAGAATCCTCTGGAAACAAAGAGCACCGAACTGAATCAGCCTTTCAGTAAAAGCTGATATCAAGAACTCTTTCTTGATCTTTCCCTCTCAGAGAAATCGAACTGGTGGTGGTTGGCAGCGGCTGATGGAGGAGGAAAACTAGAGAAGAGAGTGGCGAACTACTTTTCTCCTCTAGGGTTTCTGAGATCTAATCTTCAGAGTGCAGGTGTGCTCTCTACGAAATCCCCTTGGGTTCGAATTCTTGTAATTCGAATTAGGGTTTTCCTCCTTGTTTCTTAATGATTAAGAAAGCCTCCTAATCATATCAGAAGTTGCCCTTATCCAAATCAGTATTTGGATTACGACTCTTCTTAATTTTATCTGCAAATTAGATTAGCTTTAGGGCTCATCTTAATCTCAGATCCGCCCCCTTAATTGACTGATCAAATCAGCCCAGATCGAAATGGGCTTTAGGCCCATTAAGTAATTAGTGCTCAAWAGTCTTCCAAACTGCTGCCCAGTTGGGCTTCTTTGTATGGTGTGGGACCCAGGCCTAGCCAAATTTACTGGGAAACCCAGTGAACCCCCTTGAGCCCATCACGTGGACCCTATGGGCCCAACACTTACACTAAGTGGTCCCTGAGCCAAGCCATCTTATAAAAACACAGGGAATGTGGGCAGATGCAAGATTAGCCCATCAGGTATTATCCTAAATGGCCTTACACTTAACCTCTCAGCCCWTAATGATCAAGCACTGCCCGACAAGAGAGGACCTCTCCCTCGGCTGCAAGGAACAGTGCTGCACTCTCTACTCATATGGATCCCGGGAATTAAAACCATTTGCAA